TTCTAACATGTATATTTACAAATTTGTACATACAATTCAACATCCAGATCTTTTTGACTAACTGCATCCTTATTTAATGTTTATCAACTTTTTTTTCATATTTATTTTGTGTTGTCACTTGTCACTTTATGTACACTGCAAGCTTCTATGGCACACTTGGAATTGTGATACTAAACCTTTACAATAATGAAACCTTGACCAATTTTCATAAGGGAAAATAATAAGCACAATTGTATTTCTAGACTACAAGCATTAACATAAGCAAAATACACATTTTGTATCAACAAATTTTGAGTGAACACTCAATTTGTGTTGATATTTTGGGAAAAGACATCCAAAAGAGAACAAAAAAGTAGTAAAATAACCACATTTCTATCAAAATATAACATTTACCCATAGAAAAAAGAGTTAGAAACTTTCTCGGCCCTGTCAAATCAAAATTTTTAATGATATACAGGATAATACACCTTAACTACAACAAACCCATGACTAATTTTAATAAAGTGATAAACAAATCAGAATTTCTAGATAACAAGCATGAAGATAAGCCAAATACACATTGTGTGTACAACCATATTTTGAGTGAATGCTCACTTTTTGTGATTATTTTGGTAAAAGACATCTGAAAAGCACAAAAAGGAACCAAAATAACCATATTTATGTCAATATTTTACAGTTATCCATAAAAAAAGTGTCAGAAACTTTCTCAGTGCAGTCAAATCTACTATTTTGATGATAGATAGGCTACTAAATTTTTCAAAGATGATTCCTTGGATTTACTAAAAATTTTTAACGTTAGGTGGTTGTAAACAATTTATTTGGGTTGAATTTAAACAAACAAATTAAGTTGACCATTATTAAATGTAATTTATTTAAATTCAACACAAATAAATTGGTTGCAACAGTTCTGCATGCAACACTTTTTTCAGTATACACCTTTACCATATTAAAACCATAGTCAATTTTCATAAGGAAAAATAATAATAATGTTGTATTTCTAGATAACACGCTTAAAGATGAGCAAAAAACACATTTTGTATCAACAAATTTTAAGTGAACACTCACTTTTTGTTGATATTTTGGGAAAAGACATCCAAAGAAGAACAAAAAAAGTAGGAAAATAACCACATTTCAATCAAAATATTAAAGTTACCCATGAAAAAACTGATAGAAACTTTCTCGGCCCTGTCAAATCTAATTTTTTAATAATATAAAGGATAATACACCTTAACTACAACAAAACCATGACTAATTTTAATAAAGTGATAAACACATCAGAATTTCTAATAACAAGCATGAAGATAAGCAAAATACACATTGTGTGTACAACCATATTTTGAGTGAATGCTCACTTTTTGTGATTATTTTGGTAAAAGACATCTGAAAAAGCACAAAAAGGAACCAAAATAACCATATTTATGTCAATATTTTACAGTTATCCATAAAAAAAGTGTCAGAAACTTTCTCAGTGCGTTCAAATTTACTATTTTGATGATAGATAGGCTACTGCACCTTTTCCATATTAAAACCAGTCAATCTTCATAAGGAAGAATAATAATAATGTTGTATTTCTAGACAACACTCATAAAGATGAGCAAAATTCACGTTTTGTACAAACATATTTTGAGTAAGCGCTCCCTTTTTGTGGTTATTTAGGTAAAAGACATCCAAAAGAGGACAAAAAAAGTAGTAAAATCACTACATTTTCTATAAAAGTATTACAGTTACCCATGAAAGATGTCAGAAACTTTCTCAGTGCGGTCAAATCTACTCAAATCTATTATGCTAGCCCAAGTGTGCCGCAAGCCTACGTTTGAGTGAAGGTTTCGGCCGTTAGATTGCCCCCTGGGGGCTGGCTGCAGTACAAGTCATAAAGCCCGCCTCCTCCGTGTTAATGAAGGAGACTTGAGCCCAAATAAAAAAAAATATTACACTTGCAATAAAATGTCCCGAAAGATGGTTCTGGTCGATTAAGGCACTGGTTATTGTGCTGAAATAGGTGCAGATCTTCATTTTTGTAAACAGTTTGTTTTTAGCAGTAATTTAATGCTGGGCGTGTCATCGTGATTGACAGCTGTGATTGACAGTTTCTCAAAGCGCGGCGTCTGAGCTTCGGCAGGAGACTGAAGTAGACTGAAATGTTATTATTCGATTTCTGTGTTATTTTACCATGACAAAATGAGTTCAGCAGTAAACTATAGTTTCTGACATACATGATCCTGGTGGAACAGTTCCGGCTAGATTCTCGCCTGCCGGAGACTTATCTCTTAGAGCTCAGACTGACTAATGTTACCTCTGCTGGACCTACTCCAGATGCCTGGACTCACTACCCAATTCCAGCCCGAGTCAATCGAGCCAGATGCGGCGGCCGAGCGAGCCGGCGCTGCCGCATGCGAGCCGGAATCAGCCCGCGACGCCGCGAGTAAGTTATGTGTTGCGGCCTGGAGCTGGCGCGATTGAATATATAAAACCCTCATATTTGTTAACGTTATTACATCCATTTGTGTTGATATGACAGCAAACGCATGCTGAGAAGTTCGGGGGGCGTAGTTGATTTTACATAAAGCGTTTGATTGGAAGCTCGACTCTGCTCATTTTCGCGGCTCCTCCTTTGGCTCCATCAGACAATCCTTCTGCGCATGTCTGGCTCCAATTTCAGCAGTCTTTTGCGACAGTTTGTGCCCGTCAAGCAGGCGTTTTGCCCTCAAGGCGTTCAATGGGAAAAAGGGCTGTCGCGTCGTCCATATTTTTTACAGTCATTGTGCTAGCCATGATAATAGACTCACACCTTTACCATACTGAAACCATGGTCAATGTTCGTAATCGAAAATGATGTTTTACTTCTAGACAACACGCATTAGGATGGGCAAAATACATGTTTTGTACCAACATATTTGAGTGAATGCTCACTTTTTGTGATTATTTTGGTAAAAGACATCTGAAAAGCACAAAAAGGAACCAAATTAACCATATTTATGTCAATATTTTACAGTTATCCATAAAAAAAGTGTCAGAAACTTTCTCAGTGCAGTCAAATCTACTATTTTGATGATAGATAGGCTAAATTATTTAAAGATGATTCCTTGGATTTACTCTTTTTTTTACGTTAAGTGGTTGTAAACAATTTATTTGGGTTGAATTTAAACAAACAAATTAAGTTGACCATTATTAAATGCAATTTTTTTTAATTCAACTAGGGTTGTAACGGTATGAATTTTTCACGGTATGATAATCATCTAAAACAATACCACGGTTTGACGGTTTCGCGGTATACGGTATGTTACAAATGTTACAAAATAATAGAACAGTGAAGCAAATTTGACTTTTTCCAAATAATATATTTTTAGTTACTATAAACAACACCACTTACAATGAACAAATAAAAATAAGAAAATAATAAATAATGTGTCAAAGTCCAAATAAAGTCCAAATAAACATGGTGCAAATCCTCAGTAAAAAATAGATATAAATATTTACTATACTATAAATAGTTACATAACGAAACTAGATTCAATATGGAACATCCTTAGGTTTTATGTGCCAGCATGGATATGGTTGTCTGTGGATATGGATTTGGATATGGTTGTCTGCAATGCAGATAAACAGCTGCATCTTCATTTGCATCTTTTGAAAACAGCAAGAGCAGCAGTTCGTCTTTGCTGTGTCACTGTTTTGTCATGTTTCTGTGCTGCTGTGCATGCAAAAGTACTTAGTATGAGAATTATTTCATGCAAAACTTTTTTTTTGGCGTTTTATTTAGCCGTGCAGAAATGTATGCCTTTCTCTCATTCTGTGTTGTTCAAAAAGCTTGGTCCACAAACAAAAGCGAAACCTATGCTTATTGGTTGTGATATAGCGAGTTTGAACCAATCTGGGCATGGAGGAGGGACAATGCATCAATGTATCATGTCTGATTTGTCCGGAGACACAGTGACGAGCGTTTCTTTGTCAAATCAGCGTTGTCAAATGTTGATGACGTAATCGCACTGATTCCGGAGCCTCTGAAAGTCCGCGAATGTTATGTGATACAGCACTGGAAAGCTGAGATTGTATGAATCGGATCAGCGGATCAAAAGTTATTAAACATTTAAGAGCAATACTTATTTTTAGCCGCGGGCGGCTGTCTCGGTCTTTAAGGGTTAAAACCGTTGATATGCAATTGTTCATGGTATGATAATCGTGCACGTTCAAATCGTGGTAAACCGTCATACCGGTATATTGTTACAACCCTAAATTCAACACAAATAAATTGTTTGCAACAGTTCTGCATGCAACACTTTTTTCAGTATACACCTTTACCATATTAAAACCATAGTCAATTTTCATAAGGAAAAATAATAATAATGTTGTATTTCTAGATAACACGCTTAAAGATGAGCAAAATTCACCTTTTGTCTATAAAAGTATTACAGTTACCCATGAAAGATAGTGTCAGAAACTTTCTCAGTGCTGTCAAATCTACTCAAATCTATCATGCTAGCCATGAAAATAGACTCACACCTTTACCATACTGAAACCATGGTCAACTTTCATAAGAAAAACATTAATATTGTTGTATTTCTAGACAACACGCATTAAGATAAGCAAAGTACACGTTTTGATACCAACATTATAAGTGAACGCTTCCTTTTTGTTGATATTTTGGTAAAACACACTTGAAAGAGGACAAAAATACTAAAAAAATAAAATAAATTCTAACAAAATCAAATCAAATTAAGTCCTTTCTAATTAAACGTTTTAAGTCCTGTCAAATGTACATTTTACATGATGCCATGATAATAAGTTACTACAACTTTACCATATACTCTGGTCAATTTTTTGCTCAGTCAAAATATTAGTTATTTATGAAGAAAAAGTTTCAGAAACTTTCTCAGTCGTATCAAATCTACTTTTTCCAAAAAGTTGTTCCTGTCCTAACAACTAGCCATAAACTGTAATATCTAAAACAGCACTAGCATAAAACATATTACTCACACACACATAAAAACCCTCTGTCTTACCTGAGCCACCACATGTATCCATAATCATAGGGAAAGAAGCTGTTGGGATCGTCACAGCAGTATTTGACATCATTGAACCCGCAGCAGAAAATCGCGCGCACGTCGCTGTCCGGCTTCGGGCACGTGAACCCGCTCACAAACACGTTGTCCGTGTTTTGATACCCCGCGCAGTCCGAGCTCATGCTGACGAGAGTCGAACCCTCGACCGCCACCTTTTAAAGCCCGCAGAGCCCCATTCGCATCATTCAGAGCTTCGTTCACAGCGCGCGGAGAGTTTCTCCGGTCTGAAGAGGATGACAAACACACGCTGATGTGAGACCGGCGGAGACGCGCGGGCATGTGAATGGATGCGAGACGCGCAGAGCTTTACTCTCTCTCTCTCTCTCTCTCTCTCTCTCTCTCTCTCTCTCTCTCTCTCTCTCTCTCTCTCACACACACACACACACACACACACAAAATATTTTTATTCAAAGAGCCTTATTGTAATGACTTATTAAATACACTGACTAAAATACATAGATAAGAAAAAGACTAATATATTTAATAAAAAATAGAAATAAATGAATAAAATACTCTGTCTCTTTCTTATTTCTCGATTTGCTTATTGACATGAATTTGTTTTATAGCATTGCCCAAGCTTTTTTTTTTTTTTACAAACTACAAACAATATATCTACATCATTAAATATATATTTAATGAAAAATATTCACTCACCGGCCACTTTATTATGCCGAGTTCAGACTGCATGATTTTAAAACTAGTCGTGTCACAGATGTTTTCACACTGCTTGACTATCTGGGCTAGCGTTTCGTCGCTGCTTTGTTTACACTGCAAGATGGTTCGGCGACATGTACATTCACATTGCATGACTTTACTATAGGGAGAATCGCCGACAACTTCGTCCAAACTACGTCTCACAGCCAAAAACATGTAGTATATCTTTTGTTATTAACTACATAATGAGAAAGAAGCCTTTAATGGGGTAGAACATGTACATGTTTGCTCACCTGGGTTTGAAGGGAATTAGCCATTTCTCCTCAACTTAAGTTGATAATAAACTAATTTCTTTCTGTATGAAACGTCAAACAGACACGGTTGCTCCTGAGTCCTGTCAAACCTCCACTAGTTTTTCCTCCATTTCGTGGGTCCAAATAAACCGAAAAAGAGCGCTTTTAACTTCTCCCCCAGCCTCCCGCTGGCCTGCAGCAGGTATACACACACGCACACACAAGTGAAAGCTGCTCTCTCATTGGCTGTAGGTGATCGCTGATGTTATTTTCAGTCAAAACTCAATTCACACGGCATGATTTGCATCGCCGACAGCTCCAGATATTTAGCACGCCAAATATCTCACAGGCATCGGCGACTCATCGGCGATTCTCTCAGATCGCGTCTTTGATCGTTCATACTGTGTGATTGTCACTCACGTGCACTAGCAGCGATTTGCCTGTGATTTCAGGCATTTGTCGGCGATTTCTCAAAACCTGTCGGCGAGCCAAAATCGGGGCTAAAATCACGCAGTCTGAACTAGGCATTAGGTACACCAACTGCTTGTTAACTCAAATTGCTAATCAGCCAATCACACGGCAGCAACTCAATGCATGTAGACATGGTCAAGACGATCTGCTGCAGTTCAAACAGAGCAGCAGAATGGGGAAGAAAGGGGATTTAAGTGACTTTGAACGTGGCATGGTTGTTGGTGCCAGACGGGCTGGGTATTTCAGAAACTGCTGATCTACTGGAATTTTCACGCATAACCATCTAGGGTTACAGAGAATAGTCTGAAAAAGAGAAAATATCCAGAGGGCGGCAGTTCTGTGGGCGCAAATGCCTTGTTGATGCAGGAGGTCAGAGGAGAATGGCCGGACTGGTTTCAGCTGATCCAGCTTGAGGCGGATACGCTATAACAGCAGAAGACCACACCGGGTGCCGCTCCTGTCAGCTAAGAACAGGAAACTGAGGCTACAATTCACACAGGCTCACCAAAACTGGACAATAGAAGATTGGAAAAACAATGCCTGGTCTGATGAGTCTCGATTTCTGCTGCAACATTCAAATGGTAGGGTCAGAATTTGGCTCAACAGCATGAAAGCATGGATCCATCCTGCTTTGTATCAATAGGTGAGGCTGGTGGTGGTGTAATGGTGTGGGGCATATTTTCTTGGCACACTTTGGGCCCATTAGTATCAATTGAGCATCGTGTCACCACAGCCTACCCGAGTATTGTTGCTGACCATGTCTATCTCTTTATGACCACAGTGTAGCCATCTTCTGATGGCTACTTCCAGCAGGATAACGCACCATGTCCTAAAGTCTAACCATTTCGTTGAAGTGCAGTAAGTACACTCTTCTGTGTTTCTGAACTGTATTTAAATTCTGTCGTGGTTCTTCTGTTGCAAACAGCCCAATTGCATATCACTGCAAATCTTGTCACATAGCGTGTTGTTAGGACACGGGGTTACAAAGTAACCTGCTCACCTAATGTTTATGTTCAGAATATTTCAACGCAATCTCACAGCAATTCATAACTTTATGATCTAGAGGCTAATTCGTATGAATTTGTACAATCTAATTTGTACAATTTAGTACGATTTGCTCATCACCCACTGACAGTTAGGGTTAGGGGTGGGGTTAGGTGCCACACCTCCATTTTTAAATCGTACATTTTTGTACATCTAAACTTATATGAATTAGCCACTAAACTGACAAAACGTAAACTATGTACGTTTCCTCATGAGATCAGGCTGAATATTTTTATTATTTGTTAACTACTAACCACCTCATGTGGAACTCTGAATCTGCATCTCATTTCGGAGTCTGCTACTATCCACCGGAGGTCGCATTTCAAAATCCCAAACACATACTTTAATAGCCTTCCTGAATTAATTAATTAAATATGCTGTTTTCCACCAAGGCAACCCGGTGTAACGAGGAGACTGACACGGAGGGATCCATTTTGCAGTATTTAATAGACACAGTACAATCACAAACATACAACACACACTAAAGTGCGAACTCACATCAACAGCATTCAATATAGATCGTGGGGCTGGCGGCTGACAGACACAGAGTGATTTACCAGGCATGGATCAGTGGCAGGCGGCGTGGTTCAGAGTCCGTATAACAAGCGTGGGTCGTGGGCAGGCAGCGTGGTTCAGAGTCCGTATAACAAGTGTGGGTCGTGGGCAGGCAGAAGGCAACTAAGAGTCAGAAACAGTCTGGGGTTATGCACAGGAGATCAGGCAGGGCATAACGCTCAGAAATGTTAGCCGTGGCTGAACAAGACTTCGCAATGAACTGGGGTTTGAGTGTGGCTTATATAGGGAGCGTGGGTCGTTAACGGAATTCAGCTCAGGTGTGTGCACAATCAGTTTAGGTGGATGATGTAATGCTTAGAAGTCCGGGGATAGCGGCCTCTGCTGGCCAGCGAGGGGAATGACTGGGACACCCAGGGTGCTGAAATATAATTGGCTAAACTGGCTTTGGGAGGGTTAAATGACCAAAAGAAAGACAGCCGTTCCGGTATGTAATGCACATTTTCAAAGCAGAATTTTGACTTCAGCATTATTTTTCAAAACAAGATTGTTCACTTCTAAAATATCTGCAAACATATTATGATATTTTTATGCTTTAGAACAGTCAAAACATACAGCACATTTAATGATAGAGTCTGAATGAACACTTTATGACATGCTAACCTTTGTATTTTCCAGCAGAGACAGTATTTTATCCTCTCACAGCTTGATCTGCTCAAGAGAAATGTCAGCGAGTGCCTGAAGTTTTCATACACACAGCATACTTCAACAATGACTTCACAAAAGCTTTTTCACCTTTAATAATTCAAAGATTAATTTCCTCTACAGACCCGCAAACACTGTGCTGTGCACTTGCCGGACCATATTAAAAAAGGGACAGTTCACCCACAAATAAAGTAGTACTCACAAATTGCTCATCCTTAGTGGCTCCACACCATTATGAGATTCTTTTATCTGTTAAAGACAAAAGAAGATAATTTGAAGAATGCTGAAAACCGCTAACGATTGACATTCACGGTATAGGAAAAACAAGTACTATGGAAGTCTATGCTTATCGGTTGTCAGCATACTTCAAATTACCTTCTATTGTGTTCAACAGAAGAAAGACACTCTTGTTTGTAACAAGTAAATGGTGATTAAATGATGACAGAAGTTCTTACTTTACTTTTACTTTTAGACTTTAGTGTGAACCGTTTATTTAATTGCATCTTGATTGATGAAGCGAAGAAAATTTGCAATTGGTTTAGATGCTTGCTGCTCTACTATAGATTTGAGATGTTTTCACAGAAGAAAGGCATGCCAGTTCTCGTCATGTCAGCAGTTTCAGAACATTTTTCATTCACTCATTTTCCGTCGGCTTAGTCCAAGGGCTGACTGGGGGAAAAATTCAGCCCTGGTACTGTAGCCACACCAGCCCACATTACCACACGAACACGCACATTTACTGCTTATATTGGTAAAATAATATAAGCAGTACCATTTGTAATCAAGTATTCAAAGATTCAATGTGCTGTATGTGACTGGAACGAAAACAATCTTCTGTCATTCTTTGTGCCTCTACCTAAGTTTGTTTGCTTTATTTATAGTGCACATTTTAAAAAACAACATATGTTGATATATAAGCAAAGTATCTAAAACAGATTAAAATTATTTAATTGCAATCAAAAAGCAAGAGACAGAAGGTGATTTTTTAAAATCAGGCATTTACATTCACATTTAGTCATTTAGCAGATGCTTTTATCCAAAGCGACTTACAAATGAAGACAAGGAAGCAATTTACACAACTATAAGAGCAACAATCAAAAAGTGCTGTAGGCAAGTTTCAGGTGTGTAAAGTGTAAGAAGTAAAACATTAGTATTTTTATTTTCTGTAGTACATTTAGCGGCGGAGCCAGAGAGGCAATTGCAGATTAGGAAGGGAAGTGGAGACTAAATAGTTGAGTTTTTAGTGGTTTCTTGAAGACAGCGAGTGACTCTGCCGTTCTGATGCAGTTAGGGAGTTCATTCCACCAACTGGGCAGATTGAATGCGACAGTTCGGGAAAGTGATTTCTTCCCTCTTTGGGATTGAACCACGAGGCGACGTTCATTTTACAAGTTTCTGGAGGGCACATAAATCTGCAGAAGTGAGAGCAGATAAGGAGCAAAGCCAGAGGTCGCTTTGTAAGCAAACATCAGAGCTTTGAATTTTTTGCAAGCAGCAACTGGCAGCCAGTGCAAACGGATGGGTAGCGGAGTGACATGTGCTCTTTTAGGTTCTTTAAGACCACTCGTGCTGCTGCGTTCTGAAGCAGCTGAAGAGGTTTGATAGA